AGCTATTAACAGTTGAACTTTTTGAAGTTGATTTGCATAGTAAAGACCATTAAATTAGGGATTTAAAATTACACCATCACAATCCTTGTTTAATTCTCTATAAAAAACATGGTTAAAAAAATTGGCGTTTTTCAAGAACTATTTTTAAAATATTCTTTTTTTTTATGGTGAGATGGATTACTTTATGAGAGTCAACAATTATGATGAGATATTTTTTTAGCAAGGTGTTAAAAATTGGGTTTTGCAAAAATTTACAAAATTCAGAGAAATGTGCTTAGAGAAGAATTATGGGTATTAAATTAAAGAGGAAATTCTTTAAAATTTAAACAGATTCAAGTTTTTGGTAAGTATTGAAAATGTCCTTGAAATTTCGCAACATAAATAAACTCGATAACATCCTCGAATTTCGTTCTTCTAACTTTATCAGCTTTAAACATCACCTATTCATCCTTGTGAATCCGAAAAATTTTATTTTTTTTAAATTCTAAAGAAATTTCTTCTTGCATTTGGTACCCATATTTTTATTCTACATTGCATTGAATTTTTTAACTAATTTTTGGAATCAATCACATCTTTGAAATTACAAAGTCCTTTTGTTTGTTGGTTTCAAACCCATTTATTTATTATTTATTTTATGGTAGAAGAGCTTCTCAAACAAAAGAAGCAATTTTTTCGATTTAAGTTGTTGAAAAGTAATGAATATCTAAATCCTGGGTCTAATCCCGGGATCCCGGAATTGTGATAAGAACATTCCGAAAATCCCGGGATCGGATTGGCCCCGATTGGAGTTGGTTAAGGCGTGTCGCACAGGGGTCAAACTTCAGGGGTCATGAAGACGTCTGAACCGACTCTAATATTGACCAAAATTTACATATATGCGATATCTTTGACTTTAGAGTATCGGTTTTGGGTATTAAATGAAAAAAATATTTTAAATTTTTTGATTCTCGATAGAGGCTTCTGGCCTTTGACACCTTTGCGAAATTTTTTTATAAGTAATTTATATGGACAACAGAAACCCGCGGTGCGCTACCTTTTAAACTTAATATTAAGGGTTACGCTTTTAACAGGCATATTTTGGACAACCCTCGGAGGTATTGAAGAGGGGTTAAAAAAAAATTAGTAGATTTTTCTGAATCAGTCTAATATACTATATATATATGTATGTCTGTACATATTTATGTATATTTTTTAATGCCTGTACACATTCATTTCTTTATTATGCCCTTTCATTAATTACAGTTAAAAACCACTCGTATAACGAAAACGACCAAGTCTGGAAGCTCTTCAACACCAGTTACCCGTAAAACTTGTGATATCGAGGAGATCTGGGACGAAGAAATTTTAAAGGAATTGGTAAGTTAGCCAGCTTTACATAAAACTTGTACACAAAAAAAAAAATCTTTTGAAATTACATAAGTAGATATGTATTTGAAAATATCGAAATTAAAAAAAAATTGAAATTTACCTCACATCTTCAAAACCACTCACTCACAGCTTGAACAGGCCACTACATACGAAGAACGCCGGAAGATACGCGCGCGTCTACGAGATTTAATGGCGGAACGTGAAGGTAATGGCAAAATGCAACACTGCACTAACGATAGTTAAGAAAAAATTATAGGAAAATTTTATAAGCAAAGAAAAATGTTAGAACGAAGTAGTTAAATTATCTAAATACTATTAAATTTGGTGGAAGTGGTGATGGACGATTAATATGTAACTATGTATAAGTCTTTTAGTATTTGAAACAAAAACAACAAATTTCATATTATCTATCTATCTCTCTTTCGTAGTTTTGAAGCGTTTTCACATTGAATAATGATTTACCTTATTTTGTTTTTTAGATTGATTTTAGCTAGGCAAGAGTTTGTCTTGAATTTTGGGTATCCAGCCATTACAGTATTTTAGGTATATATATTAAATCGGTTGGTATACAATGTATGTATGTATGTTAACGTTGAAATCCATTCGATCTACATTTTGTTCACATCACTTCAATGTATTGCGCCTCATTCACTTCAGTCCTTACGTTTTTCTATTACCGTCACTTGCTGTCTATTTCTTCATATATATATGTATGTATGTATTCTCTCATACTTTCACGTAGTACAAAATTTGTGTTCTCGATCAGTTCGTTTTTCGTTCGTTCGTTTCCAGTGAAATGTTCCACTTTCTATAAGAAAATCTACCCCCCTGGATGTGTTGCAGTTGACGGTCTCTCAAACATACATAAATAAATACATGTGATCGTTGAAT